TTCAAAATTGTTTTGATACAAATTTTTGTTTTATTTGAAGTTCATTGCATTGCTTTTATTTATAATAATTTATTTTATAATTTATTTAGAGCACCGAACAACGCCAAGTAGCGCTATCAGCTAGGAAAATCTCTGGACCCTTGCGATATAGTATGGGCTGAAATGGTTTAGCTTCATTGAACATCTTATTAGTCTCGTATTGGTCTTTGTATTTTAACATTAGGCGATTTGAGATTGGAACACGAAGCTTCGGCTCAGTCTTGATACGATTCTGCCCCCTCATCATTTCCATTGTTGTTTTATACTTCGATGTTATTTTAACATTATTTTTGGAATCAAACATCAATCGTGGCTTTAATGCGCCCACGTTCTGCTTTTTAGGTTCAAATAGAGGAGCTAATGGACTGCTAGAATTCGACAAGTAAGATTTATACGAATCCTGCTGGACGTGTAGTTCAGATTGAGCATCAGTGTGTATTTGGGGATCAGGCTGCAAACTTTGCACAATTTTGCACTTGGAATTGCCCCTTTTAGCCATCTTCATTGGAGTTTTTAGAATTTTCAGCGTCTCTGGCTTTACATCCTTCCATTGTCTGATAACGTCGTAAATATCAACTTTTTGTATTGGTCCCTTTAAAATTGTTGAATATGAAATAGGAGTTTCCTGCTTTGTTGCTTCGAACGGAGCAGGCAATCGAAGGCCTGAATTCTGGCAGTAAGTTTTATACGAAATCTGTTGGACCTGTAGTTCACGCTGAGCTTTAGTTTGCATATTTTTACATTGAGACTTGCCTATTTTAGCCATTTGGGTTGAAGTTTTCGGAAGATTTTGGAATGATATTGGCTTTCCCCGATTGTTAGCTTCGAATAGAGAAGCCAATCGAAAACCTGAACTCTGACAATTGGATTTATAGGCATCAGGCTGGACCTGTAGTTCACGCTGATCTTCAGTTTGTACTATGGCCTCAGGCTGCTCGTCGACCGTATCCATGGGCACATTTTTGCACTGGGTCTGTCCGATTTTAGCCATCTGGTTTGAAGTGTTTGTAAGATTTGGGTATGATAATGGCTTTCCCTGCTTGATTGCTTCGAATAGAGAAGCCAATCGAAAACCTGAACTCTGACAATAGGATTTATACGCATCCGGCTGGACCTGTAGTACACGCTGAGCCTCAGTTTGTACTATAGCATCAGTCTGCTCTTTGACCGTATCCATTTGCAAATTTTTGTACACGGACTTGCCTTGTTTAACCATATGGTTAGAAGTTTTTATTGTGTTGGGGGTTCTTGGTTTCTTTTGAATTTGTGGGCGTTGCTTTATATCGTCGTCAGTTTCAAGTTTTTGCTTCTTGACTGCTGAGAGCTTATATTTTGTTTGAGTTGCTCGCGTACGCTTCTGTGCCTTCGGCTTGGTAATGAATGATATACCGGAACCTATTTCTTGGCCCAAATCGTTGGTAAGCTTAACGGTAACCTTTATTTTTATGTTGGAGTCCTGAGTCTCTTTTTCTACATCTGAAGAACCTTTGGCCTGTGAGCGGGACAAAACCGAAAAAGTTCTATTTTTACCGTTCCTTTTCTTATTATTTTTGAATGAGAATTTTCGCGATTTAACAATTTTCATTTTGTCACTTATTAATGAATTAGATTAGTTGTTAAGAGATCCGCACTGCAATTAATGAAAATTGTGGCAGTTTTGTCGCTGTCATCATCACAGTTAAATGACACAAAAACGTGTTGGTCAATGTCGATAACATCGGGGAAGTTATCGAATAATCAGTGCAGAAAAAGGCCAGTTGTCTGAACACGTATGGAATATGTATGGAATATTCTGAATATAATTTTTTATTTTGCCACAAAGTACACATAGAAATTTAATAAACCAATCAAAGAATTTACTATGTCGCTAAAGTCGTTAGTTTCGTATTTTTCCAATTGTCCATAAAACCATTTAATTTTGTTTTGGGATAGCAAAAGCAGAACTTTTTTGCAATTTTATCGTCAATGCACTCTGCCTGTTTCCGGTTATAATTCACTCGACTTATATCCGGTACATTAAAACCTTCTATGGTCTTCAGTTCGCGATGATAACGCACAGTGGTCTGAAATTTGGCGGATTCAGGATAGGTGCGGAAACGCAACCGATACGTGACAATTGATCCATACATCGTCTCTTTGCCATTCTCCTCGTACAGCACCTTCCTTTGCGCATATTCCATATCCTGAAGCAAAATACGCTGACAGAAGTGATTGTACTGATGTACCAGCATCCAGCGATTGATATGATACACAATAAGCTTTCCAAGTAAATATATATCCCCGGTCAGGGGTTGCCTTACGAACTCGTTGCAAGTGCACCAATGTTCTCCGATGCAAGCATCCTGACAGCTGCGCTCCTCTGGGAGTGGATGAAGCAGTGACTGGCTAGTGGGACAACTGGCCAGAGGAGGTAGATCCGCTTGAGTCGTGGCGTTAAGTCGGAGAATGTGCTTCAGCGTATTATGCAGATCAAAGTTCGAGCTCAAGCGATTGCGATTCTTATGCAAAGCCTCAGCATAGTTGGGATATGTGTTGCGGAACCAGGGTGGCAAGTATATGTGCAACATGGGTAAACGCTCTTCCAGAAAATTATCCGGCAATTCCAAAAGCTCGCCAAATTGTGCACCATGATCACTCATAAGTATAACGATGGACTTGTCAAACAGCTCGTGGTGCCTCAATTGATACAAGTAATCCACGAATTTTGCATCTAAGCTTGAGGCGGCAAAGTGAAAGTCATGAGTAAATGTACAGCTCCAGAAAAAGCCAAACATTGGCTGGTCCACTTCCTTCGCAAAGCGTGAAGTAAACTGTAGACAAAAGTCGTTCACATACGAGATGCTCAGTCGACGGCCAATGCAGTATTGATACCCAAACCTTTGATATATGTTCATAGAGCGACTAATGCCTATTAGAAATGGGCGTAGGTAATAGTCGACTGGTTCCTGAGCGAAACCGGGAAAACCTGCTACAAATAAACCTTCATCAATGGTATCTTCCCCTAGAGCTGTTGCATAGCCAGCGCTTTTGTAATCCTTCCAAATAAAAGGCAACTGGTCGAAACAGCCTTCACTCTGTATATCACAATTATAGAATTGTTTCCACTTCTGACCCATCAGCACAGGCATCAAGTTGAGTAAAGTGCTGTCCTCCATCTTGTTATAGCCCTCCATTTCGAACCAGCCTTCTTGCCTTACGAATTTCGCCGTCTCCGGCATTATCCGCTGAAAGTTCATGCGCGACATGCTGTCCAATCCGAGGATTATAACGCTGGGCTGACGTTCCAGCGGATGACTTTCTATTCGTGCGCTTTTCTTGTTTGCATGCACCAAGGCGAATGCATCCCGTTGCAGGATCCTTGAAGCATTGTTTGCATCATGACACTCGGCAATTATTCCGCGTACGTGTTGCGGCAGCGTGCATTGCTGATCAAAGTAGACAGGCCGATGTACCCTAAATGGATGAATGAATTGCCCAACTGTAGAATTGATGCTGACAAGTTAAAGATTCAACTGGCTTACTGGCTGTTTCGCTCGGGGTTTTCCTTGACGCTCCGGGTTACCTCACGATAGTTGCACTTATAACTGGCTACACGGAGATTCAGTTTCCTCAAAACCTCCCTATTTACATGCAGATTGAACTGATCCGTGTTGCGGTCGTAGTTCACAGAAAAGAGATCCGACGTATTCGTGCAGACCTTCAGTTTAGTAGGATTATATACCGCCATTGCCTCCCGCGAGAAGGGATCGGCATAGGGTATCTTGCATTTCGTACTGTTTACAAAATAACGTGATGGCTTCGTCTCTTGGCTTGGATTATTCTCGAATTTAAAATTGTCGATTACATCGTCAGCTACATTGTCATCTGGTGATTCCGTTTTCGTTTCCTGCTGATCTGCGGTAATTCGAGCTGCTATTCTGCCTCTTTGGACCAGTTCGCGCAATTGCTTTTCTCTTGCAATAAAGTCTGCCTTTACCCAGCCCAAAGTCGTCTCCTTTGATACGGGTGGAAAATACTCGAAACTGTTTTCTAAATCATCCTTTTTGCTTCTATGACTCAGCCAAATAAATATTAATAAAACTCCAAAGAATATGATTAGGTATTTGCGTATTAATATCATCGTTTTACGTCTTGGTATTCCCCTAAAACTAATTTTATAATGTTTTTGATTTCAGCCGGTGTTGTTGAGTAATATTTGAAATATTGCTGAGACTAGTCGAGCTCTAGTTGACCCATGTTTTAATTATAAATGCATAGAGTTCTTTGTTCATATGAAACGATTTGGACTTGGTTAGCTTTCTTTAAAGTCTTTCGAATGTGGAAAATTTATAAAAAGGTTTGCTTTCTACCGGCTTCAAATTCATTTTTAAATATATATACATATGCAATGCAAAATTTTTAGAGACGTGTATTAAAACTTAAAAAATAATCTACCCGCCTTCAGAAAGTCACAGTTCAAGATTGAGAGTGCGAAAGTCTGATATTCTTCTGAAATTTTACAGCTAATTATCAAAGGTCGTTAACTTAAGTAAAAGATGATTACTTAAGCTTTAGTTAGATAAATATTGAGAAAGTATTGCATTGATTCGAGAATAACTAGAATAACTCGGAAATCAACAGAAAGCTTTTTGTATTGAGCCCGTTTAAATGCGTGGACTATATACTTATTTATATATAAATCATATTTTCTGGAACAGTTTTAACAGCCGAGTCGATATATGCATGGCCATTCAACGGAATAGTCCCTATATTTTAAAACTATCGTGGCTCGTTATTTCGAAGTCGGAAGGAAAAAATCACTACATAACTTTGATTAGTTACATAGGAACGATCGTATAGCAAAATTTTATATAGCTTCCACTTGGAAGATATGTTTTACGAGAAACAAATTGATTTCCAGCTTATGAGGTTTACTCTGCTAGAACATGAGTCTACAGTTCCCTTCTGAAAACAAGTATGCGCACAACTGTTGTGGTAGTTTTATTTGCAAATTTTATTTTAGAGATCCATTGGAGTCCCATTATCGTTGATATTAATCACATCATATAAAGTCTTTAGACGTGCTTTTAAACAAGCGCAAAACATCTTGGCAATGCGATCAGAAATGCAAAATGACTCATTCCGATAAGAATTCAAACGTGTTATGAATTCATTGCGTACTTGCACTTTACCTTCCCAGTCGGTCAAAAACGTTGCACGAAACAAGCCCCCATTTGGCTGGGTGGTGAACTTGATGCGATATGTCTGAAGTCTGCTAGACGGCATCACATCATTCCCATTTTCATCAAAGTGCTGCATGCGCTCAGCTCTTTGTAATCTCGAGAGCTTCAAACGATGACACTTTTTGTCATAATTATTCGTACTCAGATACATGTTTATAAGATTGACAACTTTCCGGGCCCAGTATTTCAGTAAATCGCTGCAAGGCACTTGTAGATACGAGTCACAGGTGCACCAGTGCTCGGGTATGGACGCGTCCTCGCAACTGCGGTTGACGGGCAAGATTTGAAGTAGCGATTGACATTTTAAGCAAGGTGATTCCAACAATAAGCCAGGATCCGCCTGCTGGACAAAGTTCTTTACGGTCAAATGCAAATCTACGGTGGAGCTCAAACGACGACGATTCACGTCAAGAGCATGCGCGACCTCTGGATACTGCTTTCGATACCAGGGAGGTAAATAAATGTGCAGCATAGGCAATCGCTCTTCCAAAAAGCTTGATGTTAGCTCCATCAGGGCTCCCTGGCGTTGGCCATGATCACTAAACAATATGACAACTGCTTTTTCGAACAAACGATGCTTCTTGAACAGCTCAAGGTACCGCACAAAATCCTTGTCCACGCTTGCCGCGCCTCTAAAATCATCATGACTAAAACTATTTGACCAAAATACCCCAAAGACTGGCTTCGGCGTCTCGTCGACAAAACGCTGAACCAGCTGCAGACAATAGTCGAACACGTACCGGAAACTTTGCCTGCGGCCCAGACAATAGTCGTAGCCATAGTGCTTTACCGTAACTAATAGCTGCTGGATAACCATTAGAAAAGGGCGTAGATAATAATCCACAGGTTGTCGAATGAATCCTGGCAAAATATAGTGAAAAGTATCAATGCTGGGCGTGTCCTCGGCATAGGCAGTCAGATAGCCAGCATTCCGAAAATTATTCCAGAGGTAGGTAAATGAGTCGAAACAGCCTGGCTTTTCCAAATCGCATTTGGATCGCCACTGACGCGTTGTAAGACCCGTCAACAGAGCCATCATATTGGGTAATGTATTATCGCCAATCTTGTTATAGCCAAGCATCTCATACCAGCCCAGCTGACGTACAAACTGGGCTGTGAGTGGCATTGCCCTCTGGAAATTCATCTGCGACATGGAGTCAATGCCCAGCATTATAACGCTAGGATGGTTCCGAGTGCGTTCTTCGTCGATCTTCTCGTCTCGATCGGATTGATGCTGGATAAAGGAAAATGCGTTGCGTTGTATAATTCGCGATTTGTTGCGGAACTCATAACACTCCACTATAATACCTTGAATGCGACGAGGTACGACCCAATCTTGGTCAAAATAATAGGGCCCAACATTCCTAAAAGTGAAACAGTTACATAAAGATTAATAAAGCCCTTTAACTACAACAACTGATTAATGTTCAAACAGTCGCGAAACGTGTTGTGAATCAATTGATAAACACACCAGGTTAGAGAATCATTCGGTCCGCGCATTATCTCAGAGTAGGCACAGCTAAAGTCGGACAAATTCGGTAATAGTTTCATGGATACAAGTACGTTAACGTGTACGACATATTGTCTCTTCTGCCGATCGAATCGAACGGTTAATAGGTCTGGCTGATTCGTACATTCCTTAAATTTGGGTGTCTTAAAATAGGTCATAGCGTCTTGGGAAAATGGATCAATTCGTGGTATTTTGCATTTGTGATCGAAGACACAGAATTCTTTGATTGGGGTAGCAGGTTTATTAGCCTGTTTGCGCGTCGTGGATTTCACATTGAATCGGGTTGAATGTACTGTCGTGGTTTGTGTTCTTCTCTCATCTCCACCATTCGGATCACGATTAACAAATATAAAAATGAAAATAAGTAAAAGAGCGACAAGAGCAAGTTTTCCATTTTTGAAGGCTAGGCGACGAAACATTGTTGTAGTTATGAATTTCTCGAATTTGTGGAACAAAGGCGAAGGCCTACTTTATAGCAATGAAATCACGTAAGCACAATATAAAAACCAATTTAACGTATTAGTAAAATGTTAAACACGTACATTAAAGGATGTTTTTCTTAATTTAAGGCTTTAATTCCTTTGAATAAAATACAATAAACTTATAAGTTCAACTTGTTGTTGCCTTATTTTATTTGTTTCGAAAGTATTTTAATTTGCATTTATAGGTTAAAGGCCAGCTTTGGACATATTCAAATACGATTCGATTTAATTTTTGTTCTTAACTAATTTAATTTTCAGTTGCACTATTTCTCATTTTGCAAATCCGTTGATGATTTAAGAATAATCTGTGTTTCCTTTTGTCTTACTTCATCTCTTTTCTTAAATGATAAATATTTAGGTCGATGGTCTGCAAATGCAAAACTGCTTGGCTATGGGTGTATTCACGCAATAAGAGTCATTTCGATCGAAATTCAATCGATCGATCAGTTCCTCGCGCACTTTCACGACATTACCTTTCAGATTGGTTAAAACTGTTGCACGAAACGCACCTTTTGGTCGTGTTGTAAACCTCAAGCGATACGAATAAACTCCATTATATGGCTCCACCTCGTTCCCATTGACATCTAAGAACTGCTTGCGATCAGCTCTTAATAAATTCCTAAACTCCAAGTTGTAACACTGCCCTTCATAATTATTCACCTTCAGATATTGCCTAATGCGATATACAACTAACTTGGCCATTTCTTCCACCGAAACGCTCTTTGGCACTCTGGTATGCGGCTCGCAGCTGCAGCAATGACTGGGAATGTCGGCATCGTAGCAACTGCGATTGGCGGGCAGAACCTCAAATAATGACTTACATGTTGGGCATTGTAACTGATAGGAAATGCCAGGATGCACCTGCAGGAGCAGTTCCTTAATGGTTAGGTGCAAGTCTCCGGTGGAGCTCAGCCGACGACGATTCACGTCAAGTGCATGCGCGATTTTTGGATACTGCTTTCGATACCAGGGAGGTAAATAAATGTGTAGAAAAGGCAATCGCTCTTCCAAAAAGCTTGATGACAGCTCCATCAGGGGTCCCTTGTGTTGTCCATGCAGGCTGAACAGAATGACAACTGCTCTTTCGAATAAGCCATGCTCCTTGAACTGCTCAAGGTAACTCACAAAATCCTTATCCACATTTGCCGCTCCACTAAAATCGTCATAGCTAAAACTTTTCGTCCAGAAGAGCCCAAAGAAGGGCTTTGGCGTCTCGTGTACAAAACGCTGAACCAGCTGAAGACAATAGTCAAAAACGTACCGGAAACTCTGTTTACGGCCCAAACAGTAGTCGTATTTAAGGCGTTTGACCTTTGTCATGATCTTCTCGAATGCTTTCAATATAGGATTTAGATAATAATCCACCGGTCTTCGAGTGAAAGTAAAGGTGGGAATGTCCTCGGCAAATGCTGTCAAATAACCGGAATTGCGAAAATGATCCCAGAGGAAAGTGATTGCGTCCAGGCAGCCCGGCTTCTTTATATTGCAAAATGACAGCCACTGTTGCGGTGATCGACCCGTTAATAAAATTATGAAATTGTGGAGCAAATTATCGCCGACTTTGTTATAGCCAAGCATCTCATACCAGCCCAGCTGACGCACAAACTGAGCTGTGAGCGGCATTGTTCTCTGAAAGTTCATCTGCGACATGGAATCAATGCCCAGCATTATAACACTAGGATAGGTCCGACTGCGTTCTTCATCGCTCTTCTCGTTGCAATTGACTGGATACTGGACAAATGAAAATGCGTCCCAATGAAGGACTCGTGATCTGTTGCGCATCTCAAAACATTCCACTACAATACCTTGAACGTAACGAGGTACGATCCAATCCCCACCGGAAAAAATTGATCTCTTTTTCCTAAAAGTGAAATGGTCAGCTTAAGTTTTGAAATGAAAAAGACTTCCAGCTGGTGCTGCAACATCCTTTAATTGGGACAATTTAATACGCACCAGGTAAGGGAATCATCTGGTCCTTGAATTATCTCATGAAAAACACAGCCATAGTCGAAAATATTTGGAAACAGCTGAACGAACAGAGACTCATTGAATTGTAAGATATATTGCTTCTCCTTCTGATCATATCGAACGGCAAATAAATCGGGCTGATCTGTACATTGCTTAAATTTGGGGGGCCTAAAAATGTTCATGACGTCCTCGGAAAATGGATCAAGTCTTGGAATTTTACATTTATGGTCTAAGACCCAGAAATTTTGTTTTGACGAAGAAATTTTATCGGGCTTATTGCTAATCGGTGACTGCACATTAAATAAACGATTTAGAGTGGGTTGTGTACTTTCCTCAATTACAACAACGTTCGCATCACGATTTACAAATATGAAAATAACTAAAAGTACTAGGACTACAAGTATAAGTTTACCATTATTTTTCACTAGGCGAAACATTGTTGTAGCTTAAGAATTTTGTATGAATGAGATTAAATTGAAAGCCTTCTATTTAACTGTAAGCAAATATTATTTTATTCATTAAAGCTTGGATATGGTTTTGGAAAATAGGCTCTACTCTATGCAGGTCAATTCCGTTGGATTGATTCTCCTTAGGCTTTCAGCTTTGTAATATTTAATGCAATATTCCAAATAGTTAAGGAATAACAAAATCAAATATTCCAATTAGGGTAAAACGTTTAAAGTTCTAAAGGCATTTAGCCTTATAAAGTTTTGGTTTTCTTAATGTTGCAAAAGTATAACATTCCATATGTAAGTTAGTCTCAGCATTACTTTTATCAATACTCAACTAAAAATAGAATGGGAAACACTTTAAGGTAGCTATGATAATACCAAGACTAAGAACTTTTACAAGCAAACATTTTATGTTACTCCTCGTAATGCTATTATATTTATATTAACATTGATATATCACAACACCACAAACACCTTGGAATATGACCAGGTCAAGCATTTTCCGTCGAACTCAGCCCTTAGTACACCATGCCTCATTGCGACGAAAACTCTGCAGAAGGCATCTCCGATAGAACCTGACCATCTTTTAAAAAATGTTGAAGGTAAACCCTCTCGTTACTTCGCGTGAGGTAATGGTTTTCTATAAACCAGTCATGCTGAAGGTTTGCACGCATGATTCGGAACTCTTTCACCTGAGATGCTACTTGAACAGGTGATGCTCGAACTGAATCCTTTCGGCGACCGTTTAGAGTGTAACTATCGTGAGGTAATCCGTAGCGTGTAAGCCAATTATCGCATAACTTATATTCCGAGTTCTTTTTTAAAGTGTCCAAACCTTTTCAGAATATTTTCACTTGTCATCGATGGAATTATTGTTCAATGTCCCGATGCACAAAACGATTCAAAGGATGTGCAACGGGATGCATTTTCCCTAGTCTTTTTCTTTTCTTTTGGAGCTGCACATTTACTCACGAGTTTTACTATGCCGCCTGAAGCTTAGATGGAAAAGCTGTTTGATAAGTCCATTGTTATACTTATCAGCGATCATGGTGCACAAATTGTCAGTGTTGACAATTGTCAGCAACTCGGTTCGAAAATTTTTCCGTAATTCACAATAATTTTGCCTAAGTAATTTAAATTACCCGCTTAATAAATTACTCAGTAGGCTTTCTATCAAATCCTTAAAACAGCAAACATTAACACTTCTAACGACGACAATGTATCGTTGCCTGGGTAGCAATAATGGAAAGGTTCTACTTGCCATCCTTTTACTGCTATGCATCTTTATATTTGTCAACCGGCATACAAATGATATAGTGGAACATACAAGTATCGTTAATAAAACCGCACTGCCCAAACCGTTACGCACATTCAATGGAGAATTTACGACAAGCAAAGCAGCTTTTAAAGCGTCCTCAATCATGGATTTCAATGTTTTTGATCACAAATGCAAAATACCACGACCTAATCCATTTTCCGAAGACGTCATGGGCATTTTTGAGCCCCCCAAATTTAAGGAATGTGCAGATCAGCCCGATTTATTTACCGTTCGATATGATCTGAAGGAGAGGCAATATATCTTACAATTCAATAAGTCTCTGTTCGTTCAGCTGTTTCCAAACATTTCCGACTTTGGCTGTGCTTGTCATGAGGTACTTCGAGATCCAGATGATTCCCTTACCTGGTGCGTATTAAATTGTCCCAATTAAAGGTTGTTACATCACCAGCTAGAAGTCTTTCATTTCAATACTTATTCTGACCATTTCACTTTTAGGAAAAAGGGATCAATTTTTTCCGGTCGGGATTGGATCGTACCGCGTCACGTTCAAGGTATTGTAGTGGAATGTTTTGAGTTGCGCAACAGATCACGAGTCCTTCATCGGGACGCATTTTCATTTGTCCAGTATCCAGTCAATTGCAACGACAAGAGCGATGAAGAACGCAGTCGGACCTATCCTAGTGTTATAATGCTGGGCATTGATTCCATGTCGCAGATGAACTTCCAGAGGACAATGCCACTCACAGCACAGTTTGTGCGTCAGCTGGGCTGGTATGAGATGCTTGGCTATAACACTATTAGTGATGGTTCCTTAACCAATATGCTAGTTCTATTGACTGGCTGCTCGCCGCAACAGTGGCAACATTATTGCGATATAAGGCAGCGTGGCTGTCTGGACGCACTCACTTACCTCTGGAATCATTATCATAATGCTGGTTATCAGACAGCCTATGCCGAGGACATTCCCACCTTTACTTTCACTCGAAGACCGGTGGATTATTATCTAAATCCTATATTGAAAGCATTCGAGAAGATCATGACAAAGGTCAAACGCCTTAAATACGACTACTGTTTGGGCCGTAAACAGAGTTTCCGGTACGTTTTTGACTATTGTCTTCAGCTGGTTCAGCGTTTTGTACACGAGACGCCAAAGCCCTTCTTTGGGCTCTTCTGGACGAAAAGTTTTAGCTATGACGATTTTAGTGGAGCGGCAAATGTGGATAAGGATTTTGTGAGTTACCTTGAGCAGTTCAAGGAGCATGGCTTATTCGAAAGAGCAGTTGTCATTCTTTTCAGCCTGCATGGACAACACAAGGGACCCCTGATGGAGCTGTCATCAAGCTTTTTGGAAGAGCGATTGCCTATGCTGCACATTTATTTACCTCCCTGGTATCGAAAGCAGTATCCAAAGATCGCGCATGCACTTGACGTGAATCGGCGTCGGTTGAGCTCCACCGTAGACTTGCATATAACCATTAAGAAGCTGCTCCTGCAGGTACGCCCGTCCTTGTGCTTTGACAAAATATGCCAGGAGTGTCAGTCGTTACTTGACGTCATTCCCGACAAACGCCGTTGTAAGGATGCCTCGGTACCAGATCACTGGTGCAGCTGTGAGCCGTATAGCCAAGAACCAATTACCGAATTAATTAAGATATTGGCAAAGGTAATTGTTTACCGCATAAACCAATTTATATTTAGCAATAATTACACCATGCAGTGCTATAATTTAGAGCTAAAAAGTGTGCTAAGAGTCGAAAGCAAGATAAACTTTGATTTTATTGGACTTCAGGTGCCGCCACCCGATGAACTGGAAAGGTATCGGATTCAGTTCACTACTCAACCAAGAGGCAAATTTCGTGGAGTGGTATTAAGTAACATTCAAGCTAATGTCATGGAAATGCCAGAGGAACACATAAAACGCTTAGAGTCTCATGACAGTTGTGTAAAAGATCCCTTAGCCGCAAAATATTGCGTTTGTCGCCCTTCTACATAATGTTCATCAATAAAGTAAATTATTTAATGTTGATTTTGGCGATCTTTACATTGTTTAAATAATTATAATAATAATTATCTGGCTCGAGGTCTGCGGCTTTTTTATTTTTTTTTTAAATATTTACTAAAATAAAAAATGCTACCTTTAATTTATTAAAATAAAAAATAGCTAACATTAAAATAAATTTAAATTAACAATTAATTAAGCGATTTGACATGTTTTGTGTGTTTGTAGCTTAGTCTTATTAGCTAGTATATATGTAGCTTAGTATATTATCATGGGTATCCTTGCAGATATTATTATGATATTGTCTCAAAATGTATAACGCATAGAAGGAGTCATCTCCGACCCCAAATTATTGATCAGTATCAACAGCCGAAGCCACTATACCACTATATCATATAGCTGCCATAGGTACGATCAGTCGAAAAGTAGGTTTATGTTTGAAAAACTTTTTTGTTTATTAAGATATTTTGCCCAAACTCGGCAATTATAAGTTCCACTACGCTTCTTACATCAATGCAAAATCTTATTTACATCGGGCCAGTATAACAACTTTTTTGTTTTTCAAGATTTCTTGACCAATTTGAACAAAGATGTTTTAAAATGGGTTTGAGGCCGATCGGATGGTAAACAAAAAAGTTGTATAAAAACGTTTTGCGCGATTTTTCCACACATGCGAGTGGAATTTCCCGAAACCCCGTCTTAACGTGCACCTTCGTCCCATAATACAACTATAGAGAAAATTTCAGCTTTCTCGCTCTTTCGGTTTGGTCTGTGTGTCACCAATCGCTCAGTCTATCAGTCAGGACAAACAGTTTTATATATAGAGATTAAGTAGATAGGATAAAGAGATATTGATGCGAAATCACCAGTTTATAGCCTGTCCAACAAACTATGCCCCTACTCATAGCTCCCGATTGTGATTTTTGCATAGTACACGGCAAGGATTGTGCATAGCGTAATCTGTAGTGCACGTAGGTAGGAATAAGGAGCAGATAATTAAAGATGCTCTAACAGAAAAGAATAATCTATTTCGCCAACAATCAACTTATGTAGGAAGACAACATCGAGGATTGTCCTACGGTTGGTTAACTATGAAAGGTCAAGAAGAAGAAGCCTGCCTCCTGGGTAGCAGAAATTGCTTCTGAACTGAGTCAATACGATCCTGGCTATTATTATACTGCGGAGACCAGATGCAAGAGCAGTATTCAAGAGTAAGGCAAACAAAAGAAATGTGGATGAGTTTGATTATGAAAGGATTGTTAAACTCCAACAAGTACAACTTTTTTCCTCATTAACGATGGTAGCTATATAAAGATTGAAGCAGAGCTTAAAATCAAGCAGAAGCCCTCCGTCCTTAACTGTTAGTATACGTTGCAATGGAGTAGTGTCGATTGTATAACTGACAAGATAAGGTGAAGCACGATTGAAGGTCAGAAACATACACTTTGAACAATTTAGATGCTTTGGCCTTTGGATTGATTGGCCGAACACAAAAATTGCATAGCACTTAAATCATCTTGTAGACGAGAGTGATGTAGCGGATCAGTGTATAAAAGAATAAATTCACATCGTCCGCTTACATAAGTACGTCGGCATATGATATAACAGAGGGGAGATCGTAAATAAAAAGACTAAAGAATAAAGGTCCAAGATGACTACCTTGAAGTACACCAGAAGTAACGTGAATCTGTTTCGAGGAAGTCAACCTTAGTATGACTCTTTGGGTCAAACCTTTCA